ATTTAGTGCTGTTGGCTGCTCTTTAGTAGTTTAGTTTGCCCTTATTTCTTTTTGTTGCTTTTTTCGGGGCTGGAGGGTCTGGTATTCCAGTTTTCACAGCTTTGTTACGTTGTTTAGTTTTTGAACTGTTTCTGTTTAGTTTACGCAGGGGGAGCTCTGGCTCTTTAGCTCCTTACACACCAAACTGACACCAAAGAACACGTCTCGACGGAACGTCGGCTCACGTCGCCTCACGTCGCCTCACGTCGCCTCACGTCGCCTGCGTCTTGGCCATGTTTCGCACTGAAACACACTGCAAAGACTTCAGCCGACGGCCAAGTTGCACGTACGAACTGTGCATGCGTGAGTGGCAATAACTCTCCTTACCAGCAGGCGGCAGTAGTGTGTATTTGTCATTCAAAAGAGGCAACAACCGGAAGACAGACTGCACATACACCGAGAGAAGAAGAACAGACTGAGTGATATAAACAAACAACAAATAGCATGTGCGTTCCATTTTCACTCTACAACGAGAAGCTCATGGGGCTTTCCCGAACCTGTGTCGAGAGCGTGATTTCTTTGGCCGACAGCCTACTGATTCAACATGTCGCATCGACAGACATAAATAAACCAGCGACTGTATTCGCCATGACACATACAGACTGTGGTTTGTACTTGTTTAACTTTTGTCTAGTTTCTGAACAGATATGAGGAGCTGTGAGCTTGAGTGCTAACAGCTAACGGCTGATGTTGTTTTTCTGTGGTTCGCATTGAAGATGACGTCACGGCTCCGCCTACACTGCGTTACTATAGTTACTGCCCCAGCTACTAAACTGTAATGGAAACGCAGCATAAAGTGAGCCTGGCCTAACAAGGCCTAACTATACCTTACGGCCCGTCCACACAGTGTCGTGCGTTGACGCTTCACCATTAACTTTGAATGGGGTGACGTCACTTTTCGCCGAACAGCATTGTGGGAAGCGACGAGGAGCGTTGCTTGCGTGGCTCGCTGCAAAAGTTGAGCAATGGTAATTTGACGCCTCGGGAAAGTCAGCATCGCAACAAATGCCAGTAACAAGCTCTAGCCGAATCAAACCGCTGCTTGTGTGTACAGGGGAGGGAGATTAATGGTGATTGGTTGTTGGTCGAGTTTCAGATCACCCTCTCGGCAAAGGACAACGCACGCCGCTGTGTGGACGGGCCGTTACTAAGCCGAGCGAGGCCCTGCAATGGAAATGCGCCATAACCAGGGGTGCACATAACGTTTTTGCCCTGTTTCTCAAAGGAGCACCTGGAGATATTGCATGGTGCGCATCCTTAAAATGAAATAAACCGGACCTTTTGAGGGGTACTTGAATTTATGAACGGGGGGGGAGGTGCGCTAGTGAGCACAATCATGAACTGTTCGCCGGAGCCTCGTTGTGCGGAGCGCATAAAGCAGACCCTTCACGCGATAGTGAGGGGTAGAGCGAGGGATCGTAGATGCCGTCATGCTCGCGGGGGGTGCTCATCTCACCTGCGCACCAGTTATATGTAGCCCTGGCCATAACATTATGATGTAACTAATTAAGCATGGGGGAAGTTCAATAAGAAATCCCCTCCACTGTGATTCATTCACAAATATCTCTCGACTCATCACTCTCATTAGTAGTCATTTAATCATCAAGAATTTGCACTAATCCTATGATGACAGAATAAAACCGAGGGATGGGCAGATGGATTTTTGGGGAATTAAAATGTCTCATTGTGCAAAAACAGAGAAGAGACAGGAAAAGAACACTGTGTCCTCTAAGTCAGGGGTTCCCAAAGTGGGGGTCGCGAGATGATTACAAAATAAAAATGGAAAATTTAAAAAAAAAAAGAATTATAAAAAAAAATTGATTAATTTTTCTAAAACTTACTAGATAATTATTAATAATAACGTTTGCATAGAATTTTTTTTCTTTGACAATCCACTAGCGCAGTGTTTTTCATACCAGTGCGGAAAACTGAAATTAATTCACTAGCACCCCCCCCCATTTTGGGGGTCGCGGGCTGAAAAGTTTGGGAACCCCTGCTCTAAGTGATGATTACACAATGAGCACTGTACATCCTCAACTGGAGCTTGAACCGGGTGGATAGTTTCCTTATAATTTGTCTTCCTCATCCACCGTCTCATGCCCAGCTAGAGGATGCACCATTAATCCACACTGCTTTAACGCCTTAATCTTCTTCATTATCGCTGCCCAGGTTCGGCCAAAGTAGCTCGGCTTTATGTCTTAGTTTAGCTGTCGCCGGGTTCTGCTGCTCCTGTTGGTTTTGGAGGGAACACTGACTCACCACAAGTCATTTCGGCCTGGAGTTTAACCATCACTCAGGGCACTCTCTGCGGCTGCTGGAGTCATTCGTGGCCTCGTTTTATTTTCTCAGGATCTGTCCCCTTTAGTGTGAAAAAAGAGTGTCCTCTCCAGATGTTAATGGCTGAATGCAAAAGATGGGAAGTGATGAAGGCATGCAAGGGAAACCAAAAGGAAAAGCCTTGGAAAAAAAAGACAGTCCAGATATGTAAATGGTGGTTATGGAACCCCTTCGACATCCTCTGCAAACCAAGTTTTAAACAATCATGTTGTAATGGAACCGCTCAACATGTGCCATATTAAAATTGTGGTGAAAACAAATCACATTTCTGCAAGTAACTCCAAAGAAATTAAAAACGCCCATGTGAATTACATTTCATGAAAGTGACAGTATGTAATTATCCACTCACTAATTCCAAAGAGAACATTTTTTGGAATAAAATCCTTCAAGAAGCTCTATTTTTAGACAAAATCAACACAGTGCTATATTATGCTATTACCGCTATATCATTTACTCAGAGCTGTAGGAAGTACTCAGATCTTGTACTTAAAGTGGACCTATTATGCTATATTTGAAAAATATATTGTAGGGCCATACCTATACAAAACATGTCTGTGAAGTTTTTTGCTTAAAATACCAAACAGATCACCCATTGTAGCCTCATACTGCTCAAACCCCTCTATTCCAGCCCTGTTCAACAAGCATGATTCTGTGACCGTAGCTTTAAATGGAACGGCTGTTGCTGCTAGCCACACCCATTTGTAGCGTCACGCAGCTTTCCCCTGCTAAGAGAGTTTTCTACCGGGAGAAACTCAGCTAAACGCTGCCGTGATTAAACGGGGGGG